TTTTTTCCTCTTTTCACCGAACGTAATTGTCACCACATGTCTTCTCCTAAATGTATTAGAAAGGTGTATGTGTGGGGGAGATGTCAAGGGATGCAAAAAATCGACATGTGAGATATTTCTACGCGTGTAAAAGCTTCCAGGCGCAGTCTGGCACTAAAAAAATCAAAAACAAACAAAAAACCTTAAAAACATTCAAAATACAACTCTGTGCAACACTTTTAGAAACGTGTTTCTTTTTATACCCGAAAGATTTCCGCGTGAGCCTGAAAATGATTAAGAAACAATTTTGCAGGAGTTTAGATTTTTTAGAGTGTTTGCTCTTCACGATTCATCTAACAACTGAAAATGTAAAAACGATCAGATTGCAAATGTCATTCGTGTGCGGCGACGCGTGACAACATGTAAATGTATCCGATATTTTATGCGTTTCGAAATAAATCACATGTCCGCGTCGAGGCCATCAATTCCGTATTGATAATCGAACAGTTATGACAGTCTGCAATGAATGCATCCTAGTTACGCACAAAACACGCGAACAATACGACGGTGCCGTCCCCGGAAATCCCATATATTAAAATTACCTATACACTACAACCCCTATGATGTTTGTCTGCGTGATTTTGCATGTGGGGTTGTAAATTTCGCATTTTGCATACAACATACATCATACACATGCTGGACCCTTTTTTAAATTTTCTCGCACGTCGCAGAAAACCTTTTTAACCCCTATTCTAAACAAAATTATGGAAGCTGCGCCGATGTTGATGTCTTCGGGGTGTTTTTGTGCATTATTTCGATTGTTAACCCTTTCATCCACGGGAGAGGGAATATGACACCGCACACTATTATGTTGGCTTTCTTCTGCGGCACGGATGCTGCGACCTTTTTTTTTCTTCGCATGACCTTTTTCGACGTCGATCGGGGTCAAATACGTTACGTTACGCATTTTTATTATATCGCATCAGATACACGCCATCCTCGGCTGATAGAAAAGCACAGGTAGAGAATTAAAATAAAATCCTTTGAAATGCGAAAATGGGGTTACAGAGATGTGAACAGTCAGGCTACTAGATGTGTAACATGAAATGTAGGAGAGTCGGTAGAAGACTGATGTACTTTTTCCGCTAATTAGTGGAATTACGAGGCGCGCATACGGTGAAGGGTTGAGCATGAGGAACAGTGTGGAACGTTCATGCGCGTTATTAGATTTATAAGTCGGCATGGGGTCGAAAAGAGGTAATATTTTCATGTGCGAGTGGCGAATGTGGCTGAAAGGGAGGCACAGATTCAGGCAAATCTTAATCGTGTTCAGGAAAATACTAATTATGGTTTCATTTCCTTATTTTGGGGGCTAATTCATTCAATTTTCATTTTGTTATTGTAAAAAAACCAAACACAAAACAACAACTTTATCTTCCAAAAATTTGAATTTTTCGTAAAAATAATTTTTTTTGGCAAAAAATTTCTGAAAAAGTGTTTTTATTGATAAAATTATAGATTTATCTGTAAATATTTGTTATTTGGTTATTCAGTTAATTGCTAGTAACTCAAAATATGAAATTAGAAACATAATTAAAGTATGAGTTGCTAAAAACGATAAAATAAAGCAAAAAACAGAAGAATTTTGACTAAAAATTGTTAGAAAATGTATAGAAACATGAAAACCAAATCTGCATAACCTCAAAATTCAAAAATTATTTGACACCTAACCTAGAGAAGGATTTATAGCAAGTAGCTACTCAGATAACTTCAAAAAAAGCTAAATTTATCTTCAAATTCACATTTTAAGACAAAAAACACGATTTTTTGCACAAAGAGAAAAATTCATTATTCTTGCACATTGATATTGTATTATATCTTATAAGACCCATCCAATCTACCTTTTTATCCCTACACCCTTAATTTTACCCTTTCTTCAACTCACCTTGCATCTTACAAAATTGAAACCCTTTTCCTTCCAAGATTAAAATTTCAAACCCTCTCTCGCACCAAATCAATACCTAGCCCCCAAACATCGATAATCTGCAACCATTGATTATCCTAACATACCTGAACCAATAGCATATAATTTGAATGCTTGCATAATTTTTTTTCACACGAATATTTTGCATCACATTGCATGTCGCACCGCCGGCTGGAAGGAAGTTAAATCCTCTCCTAATAGGCGCCCGGGCCAACTCGAACAATACCCCGAATCTAGGCCAAAATGCACCTCGACTGCAATTGTATGCAATACTGTGTATCGAAAGGGTTTTATTCAAATCATCACCCGGTGGCAGGCGTAATTTGAATATTCGCCGCGCGCGCTGCCAATAACGGAAATCTTTTATTCGATTTCCGATACAAGCAGCGTTGTCGAGTCCGGGGGATTAAAGGTGCGATCTAGAATGCAAATTTTGCATCTCGCAAATAAAACCCCACCGGCGGAAGCGCATAATTGCCGCGTGTCGATATTACCTGTCAGCCAGGTGACGCGTTGAGGAAGCGCAACTAGAAGCAACGTGCAACGTTTACGACTCGCGACAGGATTCGATTTTGATTTCCCACATTTCACAGCGCGATGCAAGTTTGTTTCGCGTTTTATGACGTTTGGCATAAAGTGACGACTGAACATCATCAAATTTGTATATTATATTTTATCTCAACCCATACAAGCAACTCGTGAAATACAGAGTGTTGCTGATTTTTTATTTTTTAGTTTTTTTAAGTTTAAAAAATTAATCAAACGACTTGTAGCAACCGCCGACTTTTGATTCTCTTCAATGCGTCCCACTTGAAATATAAATTAGATTCGTGCGGGCTTTGTGCGGCGGCGGCAGCGGTAAACATGCAGCAACAAAGCCCCAAGGAGGTATTTTAAAAATACCTCCACATTATATTTTCTTCTCAGCGAAGTGTGTGTGTAGTCGGGGGCCGACATCCAACTTCCTGCGAAATGTATATTTTACTTCGCGCATCAATCCCGCAAACCGAAATCTGACTTTACCGCCGCCGGATGATGTATCGGATTATGCGCCGCCGCGAGGCATTACAGCGCGACGTATGCGAAACGTATCAATTTTACGATCCGCAGATGAAAAGCCGCTCTCGCGCGGAAATTATGTCTGCGCTCGCGGTTGTTATAAAACGCCGACGCGCCAACTAAAGTGTAACCTTATTTATAACTTCGTTTTGCTGGCTTGCGCGTTGCTCGACAACAAATAAAAGCGGATGCATGGGGATGCAAGGGATGCGCTTACCTGATGGCGATGCATCGGTGCGTCTTTTATTAGATTAATAGATTGATGTCGGCGCTGTCTAACCGTCAACGATGTTAGCAACCCTTCAGTTATCACAACAACAATGGCGAGCCGCCGAGCCATCGAGATATGCATCTCATTCACACATTCGTTGCGCTACTTTCCTGTGAATCCTGAGCGGGGTATGGAAATGTAATTAAATTCGTGAGTGTCTAGTCAAAAACGTATTGATAGGGATCTTTTATTGTTGAAAATTTGCCACTGAAAAGTTGAATAATTGAGATGTTAATTCAATTGCAGAGAAGTAAAAAAAGGTTTTGAAGTTATTTTAATAACAATTGCATCAGAAAAATTATTTTAATTTACTACTACTAGAAAAACAACAAAAGATAATTTCGGGGACCAAAAAATTGTCAAATTTGGTTAATTTTTACAATTTTTCTCATAAAAAAACAAAATTTATCAAAAAATTTTAGGATTTTTTTGATTTTGAAGAAAGTATTGCATTTTATTTCATTCTGTTTCGATAAAATTAAATATTTCTGCATTATTAGTTTTTATTGAGTTTAACAAAAAAGAAATGAATTTGTCAAGATTTAAAAAAAAAAAAATTCTGAAATTCAGTTTTATTTTGTTTCGAATTTTGATATTTTTGCAACATTTAAAAAATGAATTTAATTTCAATTCCCATTCCAGATTGCTGATTCTAGATATTCCGCATTGAAGCGTCTCCAAGAAGCACGTGGAAACCTTCCCGCAGGATCCCGCCCAAGACAAGCAGAAGCAAAGAAAAAAAAAAGCGAGACGGACGAAGGAACACGAACGTGTATAGTTATTATAAAATTCCCAGCGCATACTGTCTGCATATACACAAAGAATTTCCCCCCCAGGAACACGATTTTCAATTTTACCTCTTCGGCTCTTCGGATGTGGATCTGGATCTCCGCGACTCGACGGCGGCGGGGTTGTCCGTGTGAGTGCTCGCCGTACGTGCGCGCTCCTTCGTTTGGTTCTTTTCGGTCGACTACGCGCTAGTCGCATAAAATAAAATCAATCGCCGGGTCACGTGCAGCTAACGTTTTAGGTTTGTGATATTTTACTTTGCCTTCGAGGCGCGGCCGCCTTCTTATTATTCAGGACGAGCGACGCCGCCACCACCGCCGCCTCCAAGCCGCTTACAGCTAGTTTACTTACTCTATTTCCAAATCAATATCATTTCGCTTTACTAGGATCACATATGAAATCAACCCAAAGAAAAAAAAATTATTTGATTCATTATTCAGTATACAGCTAATAACAAAAGTATTGATGTGTAGTAAATGTGTAGGGGTAGCAGGGGATGTTCCCTTGTAGATATTTCGTTTCGAAAGTGGCTGACATTATTTATCTTTCGCGACGCGAGGCTTTTGTCTGCCGCGAGGCATGCATAATCTAAATGGGCATCTCGAGCACTGCCGACGCATGGCGAGATGGCCGGGCGTGAATCAGCAGCGTTCTCGCTCGCCCGCTCCTTCGGGGGTTGCTAGCGAGCGTCCAATGCATCACGCCGGCGAGGGGTAGCGCCGCTCGATGCGGGGGATTATCCCATCGGCGTCGTCCAATAGTGGCTCGCGCCGCACAAAGCACGCACGAGCCCGCGCCGTACGTGTGGTCAGAGAGGGTGCTTGCGAGGGTGTGCACCCTATACTCCAACATCCCACACATACACATCCCTTCAACATCTCTGGAATAAAACCCGGGTTGTTAAAATGGACGCTGGAATATTTGAAAAATTATTTTTATTAATATAAACATGAAGTACATATTTGCAAAAAAATTTATATGAAAGTATAACAATATTAATTATATCAAGCGTATGTTAAATTCCATATCGAAGTGTTTCAGCATCCAAAATCTGTAAATAAAATAAAAACATTTAGAAACCCACCCAGGTGATTCTAAAATTTGTTTGCCCAGCGCTCTAACCGAGCATGAACAAATATTATGACTAAACAAAGGCGGCTCGCGCGCGCGTGGTGCCCAATGGGGCGGACGGCTTGACCATCGAAGGGAGTGAGCCTCGCGTGATTTATGAACTGTCGACCGACCTTCGGGCCGTTAAACCGGCTTCGCGCCTGGCATTACACGCGCGTCCATCCACTTTTTTGGTAATTAGACCCCAATGGACTCGTGCTGGGCCGGACTGTGGTCACCGTCACTCGCCACGCGACGTACGAGCTATTACAACATCCTCTCCAATCACATCATAAGTATGAAAAATGACGTTTTAATTTTGTTCTTTGACTGAATCGCAGAAGGTGTTAGCTTTGGCAACATGTGTGGAGGAAGTTTCCGCATGGTTGTGCTGCAAGGAGCACGTAGGTTGCAAGTGAACACGAACACGACTCGCTGAGCATATTAGTAAGGCGCATCTCCTGGTTACCAATTGGTATTTAGCGTGTTGCAGCCGGATATGCGCGATGTGGGGAGTGAGGGGGGCGGTGGTTGGGTTGCTGGTATGCCACCCAACTAATTAGTCTACGGTGGCAGCTAATTAACTCGCTGCCGCGCTGTCTGCAAGCAACTGTAATCAGCATGTCGTGCGACATACACACACATGATAACAACCCATGTCACTCATGCTTTCTACCGTGCAAAATTTTGGAATGCTGAATAAGGCTGCAAGGAATCTTGCTTGCTCTAAATCTGTCAGAAATTATAGCTCTACACGTTTGTAACGAATTTTGGTTTGTTGCTGCGTTAAGGCCCTAACGTTTTTACTATTCTAGCTGGTATGGTTTTATATCAACTGGCTTAGAGGTTAATTTGCATTCGAAAAGATTTTCAGGTAGGAAAACCACAAAAAAAAGTTTCGATTCGAATCCGTTCGGGACGAACGCACAATTCGGAACAGTTGCATCGTCGCGCCGAAATTTGCATACACACATCTGGCATGTGTATGCTCGCAAATACCCAACCTAACTACCTGGCCGAAAAAGGGTTTTCGGGCGCATGCAGATCGTGATTGGACTCGCAAGTAGCGCGAACGCGAGCGCCCAGGCACAGATGTCAAACGGAGATAACGCGGGCGCTTTTCCTCCACACACACCATGCCATGAAGGGTCTCTCGACGGGCGCCCGAATTATACATGCGCGTCGCGCGAGTATATAATTTGGTTACAGCATTTGCATATGGCGGTCGTGGAGTGGATGCCCCCTTCGCCGCTCTCTTAACACATCGCACATCAGCTCCCAACTGCGAACTGCGAATGTGAATGTGCCCGGGCTAGTATTCATCCTGAATATGTGTGTGTGTGTGTGTGGGGTGGGATGCGGAAATGCTTGCCAGTCTTCCTGCGTGCGGAAGATAGCCCAAGGGGGTGTGCGGATTTGCCCGCAGCCATGACGCGATGTCAAGTTTGACGGCGGGTTTGGGGGCGGCGGCGGCGGCCGTGTGCGAGGGTGTGGGGTACACTGCGGAGCGGCTCTCGAAGCGGCGGCTAATGGCGCGTCTTTGTCGTCCGACCAGTCGGCCTGCTGCGTACTGGCGACCAGGACGCGCCTGCCGTCCCTACGCCGCGCGCAGGGCCGCTGTACACCGCCGCCGCCGCCGGGGGCCACGCGGGATACACTGATGGATGACTTCACATATTGATCAATACCTTAGCACTTCGTGCGAACCACGCATGAACACACCCTTAATCATCCACCTCGAGATACTCATAGTGGTTGCAAACAACGAAAAAAATTTATATCAACAACAAAATACCAAGAATAGAAAGGAAGAAAGAAGAAGTAAACTGGAGTAGATTATAAATTGTAAGATTTTGTATTCGTAGATGAATGAAAGCAAAAGTGCAGTTGAAAGAAAATTACCATTCGTAAATAAACTCGAGTTGGCACAACGCGCGTTCAGCGCAAAGAATAATATAGCGTCTTGTGCTCGGAGGCGGCGCGCTGCAAATCAGCTGAGCTACTACTTTGTTAACTGGGTGTCGGGCGCGTGTTTCGCGCGAGCGTCTTTTTCAAGCACTAAAACAAAGTTGGAATTTTAAACAGCAATTTAGCGCTCGGTTCGCGCGCGCACGCCAACTTTTTTCCGCGAAACCACCTCCTGGCTGCAGTGTCGGGAAAGAAAATAAAGAAAGCCGTAAAGAACCCTGACCTAGCCCTACTACACTCCGGCGAGAGTAAAACGAGCGCGGCGCGTCGTCGTCTCATTCATAATTAGCGCGCGTTTTTAAACGCGCCGACGACGACGACGACGGAGGCGGCGGCACGCCGTCTGTGACGTCACGCGAAAGAAATTACTCGCGCCCTCGAACTTCCGCGCCACGGTCGTGCATGAATAAGAAATTAAAAGTCTTCTAATTTGTTTACAAGGCCAAACGAGAGCAAGATTTACGACTTTATCGCCGCTGTTTTTTCCCCTCTCACACACAAAGTAAAAGTTGATAGTGAATATTATGAAGAAGGGTAGTCACCCCAAGGTGACCCCGAGTGGAACTACCTGCTACGACCCTTGACCCGACTCGCCCCTTGCTGGTCATCCCTAGACCAGTGGGGTGGGCAGTGTCCAGCTAGGGCCGCATGCGCTAATCGATACAGGGGCGCCGACCAACGTCGCGACGCCCCATTGGCCAAACTGACGCTCCCCTCTCCCTGAACCCCTCATGCCCGCACGCAACCACCACCTCGCGCAGCATCCCGGTAATTACCCCTAGTCCTCTAGTCCTGCAACACACACGTACGGTCGCCGCAGCCGCTACGCGAGCGAGATGATAAATAACCTCGACAGGGAAATGCTCTCAATGCGGTGGAATGATTAATTAGCCGCGCGCCGTGCTGGCTCGTAATGAATACGACGCGAAACAACGCTACAAGGCTCGCAACGAACAAGAAACAAGACATTACCCAGTTTTAGCTATACAGGCGTTACAGCGAGGGAGATTCGGTTTCAGTTTGCTGTAGATGTTTCTGTTTCGGATGTAGATGCCTGATTCTCCTTAGGGTTACTCGATGGAACGTCCTTTGTTACCAGTTCAACTCCGTCCTGGGCATTCTCAGACCATCCGCGGCTCTGGTCTTCCAATTTCTTCTTTTCAGCTTCGCGTTTTTTCTGTTCTTCGATTTCAAAGTAGTATTTTGGAGTTGTTATGCCCAATGCAGAAGCTAACCACTCTCCCACGTAGTCACATCCTGCTAATGCAGAACTTCCAGCTGCCCAGGCCATGTGGGTTGTCCATGGACCCCATGACAAAGTTTTCTAAAGAGTAAATACATATTTCTTTTTTGTGTAATATAAAAATTGAGTATTTGGACATACAACTGACACCTAGCGTTGAATCGATAGCAGTTTCTATTGGAGTGTTATGAGCCATCTGGCGGTGAGAGTATGAACTTACCGGATCGACAACTGGTTCTGGTTGTTTCACGTCAGCCTGCTCCAGTTCGTCATCGCTGTATTCTTCCAGCGTGCCGTCACAAAAGTGCAAGATTCTTTTGGGTACTTTTACCTGCACCGAAGCTGTATCATCCATTTCGGCGTTGTTAAGATTTGTGTCCACTGGTTTCACTAATTTCGGCATTTCTACGCAGTTCACTTTTAACACCCACAATAAACGTAAACAAACTAAGGTGAGTCAATTTTCGTTACCAAGGCTTCTGTAATTTCAGCTCACAGCGCTACCTATTTGTGCTATTGAAAAGTATAAAGATTGCGTTCGTTGGTTTTGCTATTCAAGTTAGTACTGGTAGTTGAGAGTAGGTGGTCGACAGGGAGAACTTTTTGTTTTGTTTTAAAGTATGACCAGGTGAGTTCTCACCGCCAGATGTGCCTTACTGCCGGTAACCGTTCCAGATACGCGCGGAGATAAGTTGGTCTGTGACCTCTCGCGATGAACGGTCTTCGTTAGTTGGTCGCATTCTGCTCCGCCGTTCGCACCGTCCGACACATCCGGAGCCGCGTACAAAAGCCGCGCGCGTCGCGCACCGACATTTGATTACCTTCGTTGTGTTCCGGACGATTGTTCTTTTATATAAAACGCACGCACGCAGTGCGAAACAACGCGCGAGTTACCAAGCGAATCAAACAAACCAACAAGTTAAAATGCCGTCCACTGAACGGACGACTTTGTCGCGCATCCAGCAGGAGATCCAGGACGTCATGAAGCGCGAGCGTGAATTGAAAAAACTCAATAACCTCAACGACAACAACAACAATTCAGACGAAGACGATGTTGACGGTAGTGTTGAACAAAAGCCCACATTGGTGCGCATTCAGGAGGAGATCGAAAACGTAATGGCACGCGAACGCGAACTGAAAAAGTCCCAGAACAATGGATTTCCTAATAACAACAACAACAACATCAACCAATTCGATAACAATGAGGACTCTGCAGGCGAAGACCTCAACGGGGATCACACGGATCGCAGCAGTAACCACAGCTTGACATCGGACTCCGCATCAAAGAGCGACGAAATCGAATCCAGCCTGAATCACAATCAACGCCAGCATCAATCATTGGAAAACGGTCACTCCAACACCGGAAGTAACACACGGCAGGAGGGTAGTATTAGCGTTCGCGCACCACTGCTGCGCGCAAAGTCAACTCCCACGTTGGCGGATGCCGTTGCCCTCGCAACCAAACCACATTTCCGCCGGTTGATATCCACTAACCCTAACAAGGGCGTAATGCACCGCTTCATAAAGTCACGCGGTAAGCTCCAAAACTTGACCTCTAACATCATCGCGCAAAACAAGCAATCAAACCTACCCAAAACACCGTTTATTAACGGTCCCACTCCGAATGGATTCAGTCAAAATATAGATAGTTACGAATTAGCCCCACCGAAAGTCATTCAAGGACAACGCCTGCGTAAAAATTTCATCCCGACAGAGAAAAAGATCCAACAGGACATCGAGGCTACATTCAAACGTGAAACCGAACTTAAAAATATTCGCCAATCACAAGGAAATCTTGCTTTGTTAGACGATGCGGATTTAGATGCACCTTTGGAGAATTATGGGCTTAGAGCATCGAAATCAATGGCGCAGTTATACTCCTCCGATGACACTTTAGATGAACCTTCACCAGTTGATTCAGCACCGTCCAGTTTGAAAACAGCTAAATCCCTGGCGCAATTGTGTGATGCCAAGGACGAAGAGGTCACTTCACCGCAAGCGCTTATCACGCACTTCCAGCAGATGATAATAAAAAATCAGGAGTCCAATCGTGCTTAAATCCTATCTGTAAAATAAATTTAAAAACAACAAAAAAATTACATATTCGACAAAAACGGCGGTGAGTGATACGTTATCAGCATTTGGTGGAGTTAATCACGCGCCGAACAGTCGCTGATAATGTCATATATCGACGATCGATACAATGATAAATTTGGTGATGTAATGCGTGAGAAATTCGTCCACCTTTCAACAACCATCTAGTTTAATTTTATACTTATATCATTCAAGCGTGATTCCTATTTGTTTAATTTAATTTCGAGGACGAACTAATAGGCTTAATATTTATATATCAAATGTATAGTTTATTTTCTTCGCATAGCAATTTTGTATACAGAAATATTCTTCTTAGGTTGTAATTTATTTAAATTGTTACATAGAGTTATAAATATTGTTGTTGAAATGTGAAATTATAAAAAAATGTAAAATATAAAAAACAAAAACATAACAAACATACAAGTGGGTACTTATTTTGGTGTTTGTTGATGATGTTGAGTTAAAATATAAATATAAATGGCGTGTGTGTTGAAAGTTAATAAATTCGTGTGCGGATTTTTAATGGATACGTATTGCAATTGCACAACATTGTTACTTGTGCCCTCATAAAACTATTGCGTCAATTTAATGAGTGCGACATTAATGTGTGCTTAGGTTTTATCTCTTTCAATATCACGAGCAAGTACGATATTGTTGCATTGGGTATTTTTTACATATAGATATGGATGCCAATAATAACCTGCACGGTGTCTGTGATAAGACTGGATTTTTACAGTTTTTGCAACCTGCGTAAATGTATCAGTTTGGAAAACACTCATTACGCAAGCAGAGGTATATGCGTATGTAGGTAATACTCATGTGCGAATGTAAATTATGTCTAAATTAAACTTTCTCAAATTTACGCTAGTTGATATTTGGTACGAGTACAAGTATAGTTATCTGAATGTTGTATGAGTATGAGGAATATCAGATTTGATAATATTTGGTTGTTGTTTGTATAGAGGCTAATTATTGGTTTGGTAATTAAGGAAACATTTTTGCTTGTTTATATTACGTAGGTTTTCTTATCTTGTAGTGGCAAATTACACTTTCGGGGAATACTATTTTAAAAAATCAATTAACGCGACATCAAACGGAAATTTGCTAAGTGCGCCAAGCATTTTTAAATAAATATTGATACATTTTTAGGAAAGATTATCTAATTAGTCGAAATTTGTGTGAATTTTATAAATGATTTTAGCTTTTTTTAAACTAGTAATTTGCTTTAAACCAGGTTTTCCACCTTTTTTTACTCCGATTGCGAAATTTTTGTTTGTTTGTGGACATGCACAGATTCATGAACCACAGGTTTCAATTTTTTGCTTTATACGTATCTATTTATGGTTTATTTTTTATTTTAAAAGTTGAATTGAGTAAAGAATACGTAATTTATGACATTAAATCATATTTTACTTTATTTTTATGTTTTACACGATGCCCTCGAGACGAAACATGTCAAACTTGAACCAAAATAAGTAATTCATGATATTTTTGAAACAAAATAAAATTAAAAATTACATATTTTTCTTTTAATGGATAATTACGGCCGGTAATCTACTCATCATCGACATTTAACATAAAATCGATAAATAGATAAATAATTGCTCATATCATATCATCTACTTTACCAAAAACTGATAATTAACGATATAATTGTTCACATTTTCGCATATTTCTACATATATAGTCAAAACTACCTAGATGCTTACAACACTTGTTATTAATGAGAATATAATTCATAATTATCATTAATTTTAAATGCGAAACGAGAGCGCAATCGCTTAAATAATACCAAACTCCAAATACGATTTTTTTTTTATTTTCTATTGTAATCCCATGCGCCAAGGTTTGATGACATTCCAACCATGCCAGATGAAATCATTGTCGATTTTACCACATTGTACCTCGTGTAAGTACACACGCTGTACAAGTACGTAGTTCACATACGCATGAGTATTCGCATTCGCGCATTCACACATGCCGGCAAACCCAATTAGCCATTTATAGTTTTATGGTCTTTTAAAGCGGCGACTGTCTAGTTGAGAATGCGCCAGTATTCGCGATTATGTGAAATGCGATGCGAAACGTTCGCTCGCATTGCTGTAATTTCGCTTTTTTACAGCTTTTACGGGCCAGATTGACTCAATCAACTTGGTTTGATCGACGAGATGTAAAGGTGCGTGCGTTTTATATACGCAACAAAGTAATCAAACTATAAAACACGATATATTTATGTTCCAAGTGTATAAACTATGATATTTTAAATGCGTGCATATTTGGCATTCGTTTGTTATCTTGTAATTTTGTATTATCACATTTGTAGAATACTATTATTAAATTTTCGCAGAAATCAAAAATATTGAGTAGAAGATAAAAAACTGGAAAAAAAATTAAAAGTTATAATTTTTATTTATTAGATGATAGAAACATTTGATAAAAGTGTATTGAAATGTACATTTTGCTTCCCAGAGAGATTTCGAAAACAATTAAAGTGAATGGCAGTCGTTTTGTAAAAAAGTTATTTTTTGTAATTAAAAAAACTACATTTACAATGCTTTGATGCGCAAATATCTTATATTTACGCGCTGTTATTTTAATAATATCAGGATTAATTCATCTGTCAGATAATTTACAAAATGTGCATCATGAGATCAGCAATTTTCATCGTATAGATTAAATATTTATACAATAATTTAAAATTTAAAAAATATAAGTAAATATTCAATCAAAAACAAACAGATCAACGAATTAGAATTTTCCAAAACCAAATTTATCTTAAAATATCATTGGAATTTGAAGTACAAAGTTTCCGAAAGCAAACACTGGCGTCCGCTTGAGAATTATTATAATTAGAAGCAATTTGGCGCTGGAATGCGAATGCTGATAATTTAATATCGATTATTGTTTTTTCGAGCGATCGCGCGCGTGAGCGTGCGTGCGTGTAGAGAGCATCGTGACACTTTAATTCGAGCGAAACCGCGGCGGCGGCGCTGATTTATGTGACACATATTCTGCGCGCGGGCTCTCCGTTAAACCATCATTTTTTAAACACAACAACAACCAAAACAGCAACAACAAAAAACGCAGTCACCTTGAACAGTTCGAAAACCGAGACGCGTTCTTCGCCGCGATGCTGGCTGGCTGATCGTGTAGCATGTATGTATGGCCTGCGATGACCCCGATTGCGAGATTCCTCCGCAAGAGATTAAAGTAACGCTCGAGAGGCAGAAAAAAACTGCAAAGAAGAAAATAAAAAATGAGGAGAAAGACAACGCAAGGAAAAAGGTAAACAAATGAGAGGCTACTGTTACTCTTAGTATGTCAATTTGGAAATTTTAAGGTTAATATCATTGTAATATTTAAATTATTGCTTAAATACTATAGAAGGTAAAGAGAAAATTATATTTCCATATGGAGTAATAATTAATTAATGCAACAAATTCATAATTTAGTGATTTTAGGCAGTTGAATATTAAAAGTTATATAGAAATTTATTCAAATTTAATTTTAATTGTGTTCAAGTCACAATTTTTAATATTTTAATAGTTATTGTGCTATTCGAGACATAGACGAATCCAAAAAATCGTCGATCATCAAAATCGGTTCAGCCATTCTTGAGTTATAATTGTTGTAACTAACACGACTTATTTTAAACTGCGCTTTTTCTAAGTCAAACCATATCTTAACTATGTGAACTGTATCCATCATCATCATTAACAGCAAATCAGCACATCACGATTTGAAAACAATCGGTAAACAACTATACTCGTACGCTAGTTCTAGTAGAACTTGAAGATTCAGCGCAAAACGTCGGTATTAACTGCTTCGCGTGTTATGTGTTCTCGAGAGCGTGCGTGTGAGAGAAAGTTTTTCGCCCGTCGGAATCTCGCGTTCTAAAGCGAATTGGAAGCGCATTTCTGCATTTCTTTCTCTCCAAACAATGCCGGTTACAAAACGACCAGCGTCGCTCGTAAAACCTGACAATCGACACAATGCGCACCATGCAAACACGCGCAATGCGCGCGTTAATTGCTCAATGAAATGGAGTGTTTGACGTGCAAAAAACCATAATAAGAAGTCGTCGTTTTCTAGATTCTGTACTAAAAATGAAACAATGCGTGTGTGAAAATGTGAACGTTTGAATACAAGTCAAGAGATACCTGTTGGTATGCACTAGTTAAGGAGAAAGACAAAAATATTTTTAAAGAAAAAAATAAATTTTACGTTGAATAATAGAGTGTTATAAAGTAGTATAACCCCTTAAGAATAAGTTGAGTTAGTGTTTGGTGTTGTTACATAGTTGGGGCCATTGTTACCATTCAGAATTTCCAAAAGTTATAAAACAAAACTGAATTAAACTAAATTTAACATTTAAATCAATTAAAATTAAAGTTAACAAACGTTCTCAAGGTTTCGTTTTTTAATTCGTCGTTTATTAACTACTTAATTGATTATTCTTTTGAACAATTAATTTACAATAAAAATTTCAACAATAGTTTTTTTGCAAAATTGAGTTTATTTTCTATATAATTATACATAATATACATATAAATAATTAATCAGCAACATCTTGCTTGAAAATAAACTCTTTTTTGTATCCTTTGCCTCCCCAGCAACTTTTCTCACACGTATAAACCGCCAGCACCCCAAAATCGAGTTCATGCTCATTAACAGTCGCTAAAAATTGCGGCATCACTTGAAACTCGAACCTTCTCCTCGCGCCGCACTCACATTGCGGAACTTCCTCGGGTCTCGGCGTTTCGGCGATCCACAATGGTTCACCATCGCGTTCGTATCGCAAAACTTGCTCTGGATTGCAGTCGACTCGCTTCCGGAAACGCGTGAAAGTCCTATCACCGTCGACAGCTGCGTGCCGGTCCAACTCGCTCTCCTCGACGTCCGCCAGCTCGCCACCTGTCGCCCGCTGTAGCTCATCACAAGCGCGCAACTGCTCCTCGACGTCCACTTCCTGCTTCGCCTCGAGCTCCTCCGGTTCGATGACGAGTTCGAATTCCTTCAACAGGTGCACCGAACTTTTACCAGCACCGTTATCGGAAGAAGTATCACTGCATGTGGTTTTATGTGATTCCTTCCAGTGGAGGACTTGATGCTGGCGACTGCAGTAGGGTGTCTTGCACTTCCCGCAGGATTTTTCTGCTCCGCAGCCGCATAATGCGCATAGTTTTTGCCATTGTTGTGGGTTGAATGTTGTTGGTGTGTCTTCCGGTGGTGGATCGAATGAGTAATAGTCGTTGAGTCGTGGTAAATTGTCCCTGAAGACCGCGAACGTTGTGTTGTCGTTCTTCTTGCAGCATGTCGCATTCCTGCACGCGAAAATGTATACGCTTCGGTGGAAATTGTTCTCGCAATCTTCGTGTGGAGCGTAAACTTGGCACAGAAACGTCTTTGGGTTGGAACATACCGTGCACTGGAGTGTTTCCGCGTTTGGAAGGTCCTTAAGGGATAACCATGCTGGTTTTCCGCCGAGTTTTGAAGGAAATTGCGTACTCAGGAGCCGCCAGGGCTCGCAGGGCTCTGCAAAACCGATGTCTACACGTGACATTGTTGTTGTTTTAGGTTAGAATAAGGTAAACTACTCCACATTTATTTTTTATTAAAGGAATAATTTAAATTAATGAAATGAAATTGTTTATTCTTTCATTTCTGTAAATAGGTTAATATAAAATTACTCTTTGAAATTTAAATGCTCGAAAAAGTGTTGAAAACATTTAATTTCTTTGAAACAATCTAGTTATATTCTCAGTGGAGCTCAAATTATGTTGGTAATTCTGATAATAGTTCAGGAATGGACTTCCGGAGCTACTTATTAGATATTATAACATTTACTTCAATTAAACAATTAACAGTTTTAAAATTTAAGTTAATTTTACAATTTATAATTTCAAATATTTTAATACAAATAATTTTATACTAAATTTATATAAAAATAAACTAAAAGTTTATAATACGTTTCTGACTAAAAAGAAATATCGTTTCAGATTACATATTCAGATGGCGCTTGCCCCGCACTTGCGCACCAAGCACTGCTACCAAACTTCAAAATCTAGGGGAATTCGTTGTTGCTTATGATGAATTGACAAGTGACAACGTGTCCTTTCACTTTCAGTAATTTAGTCATACGTGCATCTTGTTAATTTTCTCATCGACGACGACCAAATTTTGTTTTAACGCCTCATCGCTTACGTATAATGGAGACGAAACCGACGAAGGCCGAAATTGAGGCAGTCTTTACCCGTCTACGCTCGATACCAGCGAACAAGGTACAAGAAATGGTTATTTTTGGGCGTTTGTAAATCTCCATCAAAAACATATGTAAACATTTTAACATCTCATGTAATCTCTTATATTTCTTACATTCAGGTGTGTTTCGATTGTAACGCTAAAAATCCAACATGGTCATCTGTGACTTACGGCGTTATCATCTGTTTGGACTGCTCAGCAGTGCACAGAAACTTGGGAGTTCATTTAACATTTGTCAGGTCAACACAGCTGGACACTAATTGGACATGGGTACAGTTGAGGCAGATGCAACTTGGTGGCAATAATAATGCTGTAAGTTCTACAACTTGTCAGAGGTACGGATCTTAACCTGTTGTATTTGCAGCAACAATTTTTCCAACAACACAATTGTGTGACTACTGATGCCACTAAGAAGTACAACTCTAGGGCTGCACAACTTTACAGGGACAAATTACATCATCTGGCACTGAATGCAGTTAAAAACAATTCTGAGGTAACTGTACTTTCTTTAAACATTGCAATTGTCTCCATTGTACATTGTTTATTGTTGATATTATGCAGCCCAGTTTGTTTAAAAACTGTTTTTTATTTAGATTAGCAGTTTGCTGATTGATAGCAAGCATTCCAAGGTAGGCTTTAGTTTATTGGTTAGCTGGGTTTAATTTTTGCTGACAATTTACTTTCATCATCATAGAATATAATAAGTTGTCATTACAAACATTCATTTCAAATTGTCTATGCTTGAATCAACATTTTTGGGTAATCAACTAAAACCATGTGCAGTTGTGTTCACTGTATTTGTTAACAATATGTATTAACATGTAGTTTGTTTGTTCATTAACACACAGCTTCACATAAACGCGTACGTCGAGGAGAAGGTTGAGGAGAAAGAGGTGGATTTCTTCAGCGAGCACGAAAAATTTGCCACTGCTTCGGAAAACACTGGGATTAGTCAAGAAATTAAAGAATCCAAAGTAGGTTACTATAATTTTGCTTCAAACTAATTTCATAAGATTAATTCATTCATATTTTGGAAAAAAATAGTAGTTTAATGGTGGGACATTTTTTAGGTTGTTGCGAAACAGGAACCAATTCAGAATGATCAGAAACTGGATGGTCCAAAAGTTGATTTTTCAACTGCTGCCGATGCAGGTGAAGTTAGAAAAAGTACGATTGGTATTCGGAAAGTGCAACCAAAGAAATCGGGGGTAAGCATTCAATTCAAGAAATTTGTTTGAAAACTTATTAATTATTTTTACTTTTTTAAAAGTTGGGAGCTAAAAAGGGAGGTCTTGGTGCAACTAAAGTGAAAACCAACTTTGCTGACATTGAACGCGAAGCAGAACTAGCCGAAGAATCGCGCCTACGCGCCCAGGAAGAGGTCGTCAAGCAAGCGGCCATTACCGTCCAGGAAAAGATTGAACAGCAGGCGGCGATGCGACTGGCATATCAAGATTTAAGCGCGCAACAGACGAAGAAAGAAGAAATGATGAAGAAGACAGATCCGCGCAAAGCCGAACAGATGGAGCGACTTGGTATGGGTGTAAATAATCGTACCGGTGTCAGCCACTCGATGCTCACTGAGATGAAAACCATTGAGCAAGAGAATCTGCAATCGACGCCAAGTAGTCTTGGATCGCTGGGAAAACTGCGCTTAGACGACAACGGGTTCGACAGTTACAACTACACGTTTAGCATGAATCGAAATGCAAGTGGCGGTTTTTCCAGCAGCAAAGATTACTTCGCTGATATGAAGGATTTTAACAGCAGTAGCAACTCTAGCAACCAACAAGATCTGTGGGTCATTGTCGATGATCCACCTAGTAGCAAACCTACGAAATATGATTATGACAAACCAGGTTGGTGCAATATAATTTGAATCTGCGTACTTCTAAAACGTAATTATTAATTAATTTTTAGTGGAGAGAGAAAGAGAAAGGGATAGAACACCAAAGAAAACTTACGATGATGTCGGCACTGGTGATGCAGCTCAAAAGAAATTTGGCAACGCAAAAGGCATTTCTTCTTCGCAGTACTTTGACGACGGTGTAAAGGACTACGAGACACAGGCGAATTTGAATCGCTTCCAAGGCTCTTCCAGCATATCGTCATCGGACTTTTTTGGCACAGGCGGTCAATGTAACTAGTGATTGCTGGTTGACGTTATTTTTTTGTTTATGTTTTCATTTTGTAGCCAACCATCCGAATAATTCGTTCCAAGCGCCCGACCTCGAGGACGTGCGTGAGAGCGTCCGCCAGGGCGTCACCAAAGTGGCGGGCAAACTCAGCTCGCTGGCCAACGGCGTCATGTCCTCGCTGCAGGACAAATACGGTTACTAGTGTATAGTTTAAGCGTTATTATACCAGTTTATAACCGATTGTGTCGCGACGCCTACATTGCCAACGATGACGTCGCACACATCCTAGGGACAAAGTTAATGATAAAGAAATACTGGGCCGAAACTGTAAGATAACTTGTTACATTTTAAGACTTATTCACGCGAGATATTGAATGCTAATTCAATCCAATCCAGGACGCTTTTTTGACTTGTGTAGAAGTTTTTAATTTGTACAAAACAACGTGACTTGTCGAAACGGACGACATTCTCTCGCACATCCTCTTGCAATATTTATTGATTATTGTGCAATGTGCCTTGAGAAGGAACGTCAACCAATCATGTAAAGTGTTGCTGTTTATTTCCCCAACTTACGAGCGCGGGCGATATGAATACTGCATATACGGAGTAAAATTTAGTGCAATTAGAGTTTAGGGCATCTCGAGCGTTTTATTATTATTCATTGATTGAACTTTGTAAAATACAGAAAATTATAACATATTTGAAAAGTGAGTGCATTTAAAGAGGGGGTGTGCCATTGTGTGATCCTGCTGAGGTTTTTCTCATCAAGGTTTAAATTATATTTTAATCTTAGCTTTTTCTTTGTGTCTGTTGTATTATTATCTTATTTAATTGAATGCACCTAACACAATGGTTTGATAGCACGTTTTTAGCATCTTTTGTTTGTGAATTATATGGAACATTAAAACTTGAATTAAGATTTTTTGCTCACTAGTTTCTTATTTGCTACTGACGATAGCTGAAATTATTTGTGTTTTGGTGAAGTTTTAAACATTATACAAAACTCTTACTTTTCTAATATTTTAAAAACATGGTGTGTAAAACTCGCTCGCTAACTCATCAATTTTCACTATTTTGTTATCATATTGTTGTCTAAGCCACATTTTGACTTTGCATTTACAGATAACTGAAATATCTTGATTGTAAATAAGACTATGTAAACAACAGCGCACACGTTTTGACACTAGTTTGGTTCTGATCGCCGACAAGTGCACGTTACTCGTTGTATATTTAGTTTTATTCAACTTCTCCATTGTTTTAGGGCTCTTCAAGCTGATTGGAACCTCGCAGGGAGCTCTACGTGCAGTAAATTGTAAGTTTTGTAATTATATATTCAATTCATGACTTAGTTTTGTGATTTTCATACGGTTAAGCCACAAAAAACGCCTTTTTTGTTTTGAGGCACTGGTTTTTGTTGGTTTTAGGGCTCTAAAAATTAAACTAGATCCCACAGGAGAGTAATTCTTGCGTCAAATTGTAAATATTGCATTTCTTTATTATATTTATCACTAATTTTAGTAATTTTCAAACGTGGAAGTAATAAAAATTGCAATTTTGTGTTTTGAGGCATTGATTTCTGTGCGTTTTTGGGCTTTAAAAACTGAACGGAACGTCACAAGGGACTCATTCTTGCATCAAATTGTAAATATTGCAATTGTTTATCACATTCATGACTTAGTTTTGTAATTTTCACACGTGGAACTTATAAAAAAATGCATTTTTGTGTTTTGAGGCATACATTTCCGTTGGTTTTAGGACTCTAAAAATTGAACGGGATCTCGCAGGAGAGTGATTCTTCAATCAACTTGTAAGTATAATAATTCTTTAACATAATCATGACTTAGACCGATCATTTTCGCGCACAGAAGCCGTAAAATAGCATTTTGTGTAACGAGGTACTGATTTTTGTTTGATTCTTTTAAATCGCGTTTTTGAAATTGCTTTAGCATCTTTGCTACATTACAGTTTCCTGCTACATTTGGCGTAGTTTGTTCACCATAAACTAGATGGCGCTAGCGTACTTCACATTCATACATCAATTAGTTTAAAATGACACACATAGGTTGCGCTAGTGTCGCTTGTTTTTGTTTTTAGTCGAGTTAGCGTTTTATTTATCTGCATAGTACGTGTTTATATTTGTTTCTGGGAAATAAAAATTTAAGAATTTAATTTATGAGTAGAATTCATCAATAAAACACAAGTTAATATTTAAAAGTTTTGAATATATAAAATTGAATTTTTCGTAATATACATAAAATTGATCATCATTTTATATTTTTCGCATATATGAACTGAAACAGATAGATCCTCCTTGCGTCAATCAGAGTGAGAGATCAAAGCACGGAATTGTATATTCGCAATCAATGTAATGTATATGATCCGGGTAATTTGCGGCGGTTGTCGAATACATTCTTAGTGCATTCGGTGCAATCTTGGCGCATATACTTTGCTGCGCAAGTCGTTTTGCAATGACCTATGTGTCGATTACCGTGTCGGTCAGATGTTTCTCGCGCCGAACTTAGTGCGTAATTAAAATCGCACGTGCTTAATGCGATTTACGTCGTTTCTTTCGAAAGTAAATACGGGCATTTTTGTGATTGTCGCGTGTAGTTTGTGCGTTCTCGGTTCTTGACGCAGACTGTGCTTAGTTTCGCGGTAGCCACGCGGTTATTTACTTGTCGTAATTGCGTAAGGATGTGTTATGTACTAAACTCTCAATAATATTTTATTGGCGATAGGAAATGTGAATAAATAAAAATGTGTTGTTTTATTTTATGTGTTTTGGTAAAACACATGCTTTATTATATAAATGCTTTATTTACCTCCGTCGGTGATTGTGATTCGCTTGTGGAATTACATTGCACTCGTGTTAACTTATGTGTAAATAACCTGCGTGTCCACACTTACTTAATAATAACTTGGATTTATGTTTAATTAATATAAATAAACAACGTTGATGCCTGTTGAAGAAGTTTAGGAGCTCTTGTGCCAAGGAGTCTACCGATTCCGTCCCAGAAATGTTAGAGATGCGCGTATTACAAGGCAAGTTTTATTCCCAGGAGATTTAAGAGATGTCTATAATTTTCGATTTAAAAAAATGTATGTAGTTTTTAATGTTGCTAATAAAACATAATGTAATATTATATACTTCTTCATATTTCTTTCTGGTTTCCCCTTTGCCGTTTGCAGGATTGATGTTTAATCATATTCCATATAAATCTTAAGTACGTCGAGCGTGTACAATATATACCTGTTGTTTGTGCTGTGTTGTTGTTTTTAAAAAGTTGATTAATATAGAAACATAAATAGAAGAATCAAATAACAATAATAAAAACACTCGGTGGTCGAGTGGAGACGTGCACCTGCTGGCATGCTAGCAGACACGGATCGAATCTCAGGTGTAGAAGGCATTTTTCTCAAATATAAAAATAACAGGTGTAATTTGGGTTGCATATATGAATTGCAACGAAATATAAGAGAAATTGAAATACAAGTGAAGGCAATAAGAGAAGTAAGAAAGTAAGCAAGTGGCGAAACGGAGAACAGAGAAATAGGAGGAGTAGAAGAAAGGAATAGCAGAGAAGAGTGGAAGACAGAAGGGTGAGAACAGAGTAGAGAAGAGGAGGAGGAGACAGAAGAAAGTGCAACAGGAGTGGATCAGATTTTAAAATTTTTGGCACGTGTCGTTATAAGACAGTCTACGGTCGATCTCCCAGAGCGCCTCCGGCGCTCTGGTCGATCGCCCACTGCTTCGATCCGTCCATTGCTCCCGGCCCAACCTACAGCTACGATGTCTCTGCGCTTCATCCCCGAAATTATCAGGCATATCAACAATTTTTATGGTGGGGGATCACCCCCGGAGAGAGGGATTTCCTTATAAGGACAATCCTTATAAGATCTTGTTCAAATATTTCTGAGTTTAAAGCCGTCTCAAGAGAGATGACACTTAAAAATATTCTTACAAGTTCTGACCTGTAGCTGAAATGAAAGAAGGAGACACAAATCACACAGGATACCTCAACAATTTTTATAGTGGGGATCATCCCCTGAGAGAGGGAACTCTCTTAGAGACCTGTTCCTGAAATGATAGAAGGAGTGCACAAATCAAAGAAGTCAATATATCTTACAATTTATTTATTAACAATAAAGTACATGTTTAGATTTTACAAGTTAACAGAATACATGTCGCCATATTGAAACAGGACTTACGACCTGCTAAGCCGCGCACATATAAGCAAGTAGCATTTCGTATAGTTCTACCGGACTAAAGAAATTAGCAAACAGTTCATTTTCTACGTTATTGAAAATGAAAACAAATATACAGGGTGTTACAAATGAAAAATTTAATGTCAAAACAAAAAAAACATTTTAACAATACAAATATCATTCGTTTTTTACCCGAGACTCCGGGAAACTAATATACAGGGTGTTACAAAAAGGAAATTCCAAGGGCAATAAGGAAAACCCTAAAATCAACAGTTAAAACAAAAATTTTGACGAACACAAAGAAAAAATGAGTATACAGGGTGTTTCAGAAAGAAAATATTTAGTTGAAACAAAGAACCCGCAAAACTCACAAATACCGGCGATTTTCTACGTAGTGTTAGGAAAACTAATATACATGGTGTTACAAAAAGAAAACTTTAGAAACTACAAAGGGAGTTAATATTCACAACATGAAGAGGGAAATTTACAAATAAACAAGAATATTTTAATAGAAAATACAAGATTTTACCAAAAAAATAATAATAAATAAATCATAATAAATCACACTTTAATGCAAATTTTTGCGGGTTGCAGGTCGAATTCCTGCATCAAACAAATACCACCCAACGGAGAATTTAATTCCGCATCTTTAGATGCCACGCCGAAGTGATTGGGACTCTAAGATCGCGTGCAAACCCGAAAAAATACAAACATTTCAAGAAAAAGAGTGAGTGACCTTTAAGCGTTGCATCACTCAGGACTAATGTTGAAGATAATAAAAATCTGGGTAATAAATGACATTGTTAAGGGGAAATGCGGGAAGAGGTATATTTGTTTATTTTATTTTAAACCGGGAGTCGGCCGACGAAGCGACGTTTCAAATTTAGCTCGTGACTCGCCCTAAAACAGAAAAGAGAACAACAGAGATAAAATAATGCAAAGTCTAAACATGCAATAAAACTTCTACGCGAAGTGTAAAATATGATATAAATGCGACGCGAAAACGTGTTTATACACAAACGAATACTGATACTAAAAGAGATAGGTATCTACAACAATCTACAACAATATCTGTATAAGTTAAGCTAGTTAATTGCAATTTCCATCGCAAAACACTAAAATGTGAGAAATATTGCTGAAGTTTGGGGATGTTTTTCGTAGTTTATCGTAGTATTTTTATGTGCAACAACTAAGGCTCACTTAGCACAAACATTTTTGTAAAGGTCACTTCACACTATAAAACAAACTCACCGCGACTATTATGATTTATTTATATTGATAATTTATTTCCACGATTTTCAAATAGCGGAATCTTTATCTATGGACAATTCTCTATAAAATAAGCTAGTTAAATTTGAAATTTAAGAGATGAAATTTTAATTCATAAGAAAAAATGGGCAAATGGGAACCCGAGTCACTTCTACCGCTGCCCTTGTACGGTGCCCTGAATACGAGTCACTTCTACCGCTGCCCTTGTACTGTGCCCTGAATACGAGTCACTTCTACCGCTGCCCTCATACGGTGCCCTGAACACGAGTCACTTCTACCGCTGCCCTCATACGGTGCCCTGAACACGAGTCACTTCTACCGCGGTGCGGTTATTCGGAACTTATTATGACACCGCGTTCGCATGCGATATTAAAAAAACTACAATTCCTAGCGCATCAAGTACTACGGCGCATACACACAACTTTCTATATAACTCGCGTTACGGAATTTTGTCGCAATAAATTCAGATGCAAGGTGATACAGAATTAAATTCCGCATCTGGGAAAATTATTCTGAACTTATTATGACACCGCGTTCGCATGCGATTCTAAAAAACTACAATTCCTAGCGCAATGAGTACTACGGCGCATACACACAACTTTCAATATAACTCGCGTCACGGAATTTTGTCGCAATAAATTCAAATACAAGGTGATACAGAATTAAATTCCGCATCTGGGAAAATTATTCTGAACTTATTATGACACCGCGTTCGCATGTAATACAAAAAAAAAAACTAAAATTCCTAGCGCAACGAGTACTACGGCGCATATAAACAACTTTCAATATAACTCGCGTTATGGAATTTTGTCGCAATAAATTCAAACCCAGGGTGATACAGAATTAAATTCCGCATCTGGGAAAATTATTCTGAACTTATTATAACACCGCGTTCGCATGCTATACTAAAAAAACTACAATTCCTAGCGCAACGAGTTCTATGGCGCATACACACAACTTTCAATATAACTCGCGTTACGCGAAAACTTATTTATAAACAGCCAATGTAAATTTGACCAGAAAATATAATTGAATTATAAACTTACCTATGCAGCGCTCATCGGATTGCAAGGGTACGGCAAGTACTGTAATAAAAAGAAAAAATAAGTTAAAACAACAACATTTCATACAATATGATAATATTATATTCACGCATGGGAGAAAACAAACTTTCTGTGCTGAGAATCGCAATGGTCAGATAAAAGTATTTTACTCAAGCATCTCGTAAACTAAAAGAGATAATCAAGATCGGATAATTTTTATCGACGATTTTCGATAATTACTATCTCTATCTCAAAAAACGCCACTGAAAGTATTAAAAAGTGACATTTTTCAATTTTTGCCCATTTTATTCAATCGCGAATATCTCGTAAACTAAAAGAGATAATTAAGATCCGATCGCAGCGTCTTAATCTACGGACTAATCTTTATCAGATAGGCTAGTTAAAACGGAAATCTGAGAGATGAAATTTTACATCTTAAGAAAAATTGCCAATTGCTGATTATGGGGTGCTTGATACTTTTTTTCGACGATTTTTGATAATTAATATCTCTTCAACTAAGAGAGATAGCAACCAACGAATTGCTGATTATGAAAGATTGGAAAATTCTTTATCTGATAAAAATATTAAATAATTATATTTCCAACAGTAAAAGGTCAAAAAACGCCACTAAAAGTACTAAAAAGTGACATTTTTCAATTTTTGCCCATTTTATTCAATCGCGAATATCTCGTAAACTAAAAGAGATAATTAAGATCCGATCGCAGCGTCTTAATCTACGGACTAATCTTTATCAGATAGGCTAGTTAAAACGGAAATCTGAGAGATGAAATTTTACATCTTAAGAAAAAATTGCCAAGGGGGGGTGCTTGATACTTTTTTTCGACGATTTTTGATAATTAATATCTCTTTAACTAAAAGAGGTAGCAACCAACGAATTGCTGATTATGAAAGATTGGAAATTTCTCTATCTAATAAAAATATTAAATAATTATATTTCCAACAGTAAAAGGCCAAAAAACGCCACTGAAAGTATTAAAAAGTGACATTTTTCAATTTTTGCCCATTTTATTCAATCGCGAATATCTCGTAAACTAAAAGAGATAATTAAGATCCGATCGCAGCGTCTTAATCTACGGACTAATCTTTATAAGATAAGCTAGTTAAAACGGAAATCTGAGAGATGAAATTTTACATCTTAAGAAAAATTGCCAAGGGGGTGCTTGATACTTTTTTTCGACGATTTTTGATAATTAATATCTCTTAAACTAAAAGAGGTAGCAACCAACGAATTGCTGATTATGAAAGATTGGAAAATTCTCTATCTAATAAAAATATTAAATAATTATATTTCCAACAGTAAAAGGTCAAAAAACGCCACTGAAAGTACTAAAAAGTGACATTTTTCAATTTTTGCCCATTTTATTCAATCGCGAATATCTCGTAAACTAAAAGAGATAATTAAGATCCGATCGCAGCGTCTTAATCTACGGACTAATCTTTATAAGATAAGCTAGTTAAAACGGAAATCTGAGAGATGAAATTTTACATCTTAAGAAAAAATTGCCAAGGGGGGGTGCTTGATACTTTTTTTCGACGATTTTTGATAATTAATATCTCTTAAACCAAACGAGATAGCAACTAACGAATTGCTGATTATGAAAGATTGGAAAATTCTCTATCAAATAAAAATATAAAATAATTATATTTCCAACAGTAAAAGGTCATAAAACGCCACTAAAAGTGCTAAAAAGTGACATTTTTCAATTTTTGCCCATTTTATTCAATCGCGAATATCTCGTAAACTAATGGAGATAATTAAGATCCGATCGCAGCGTCTTAATCTACGGACTATTCTCTATAAGATAGGCTTGTTAAAATGGAAATCTGAGATATGAAATTTTACATCTTAAGAAAAATTGCCAAGGGGGTGCTTGATACTTTTTTTCGACGATTTTTGATAATTAATATCTCTTAAACTAAAAGGGGTAGCAACCAACGAATTGCTGATTATGAAAGATTGGAAAATTCTCTATCTAATAAAAATATTAAATAATTATATTTCCAACAGTAAAAGGTCAATAAACGCAACTGAAAGTACTAAAAAGTGACATTTTTCTATTTTTGCCCATTTTATTCAATCGCGAATATCTCGTAAACTAAAAGAGATAATTAAGATCCGATCGCAGCGTCTTAATCTACGGACTAATTTTTATAAGATAGGCTAGTTAAAACGGAAATCTGAGAGATGAAATTTTACATCTTAAGAAAAAATTGCCAAGGGGGGGTGCTTGATACTTTTTTTCGACGATTTTTGATAATTAATATCTCTTAAACTAAAAGGGGTAGCAACCAACGAATTGCTGATTATGAAAGATTGGAAAATTCTCTATCTAATAAAAATATTAAATAATTATATTTCCAACAGTAAATGGTCAAAAAACGCCACTGAAAGTACTAAAAAGTGACATTTTTCTATTTTTGCCCATTTTATTCAATCGCGAATATCTCGTAAACTAAAAGAGATAATTAAGGTCCGATCGCAGCGTCTTAATCTACGGACTAATCTTTATAAGATAGGCTAGTTAAAACGGAAATCTGAGAGATGAAATTTTACATCTTAAGAAAAAATTGCCAAGGGGGGTGCTTGATACTTTTTTTCGACGATTTTTGATAATTAATATCTCTTAAACTAAAAGGGGTAGCAACCAACGAATTGCTGATTATGAAAGATTGGAAATTTCTCTATCTAATAAAAATATTAAATAATTATATTTCCAACAGTAAAAGGCCAAAAAACGCCACTGAAAGTATTAAAAAGTGACATTTTTCAATTTTTGCCCATTTTATTCAATCGCGAATATCTCGTAAACTAAAAGAGATAATTAAGATCCGATCGCAGCGTCTTAATCTACGGACTAATCTTTATCAGATAGGCTAGTTAAAACGGAAATCTGAGAGATGAAATTTTACATCTTAAGAAAAAATTGCCAAGGGGGGGTGCTTGATACTTTTTTTCGACGATTTTTGATAATTAATATCTCTTCAACTAAGAGAGATAGCAACCAACGAATTGCTGATTATGAAAGATTGGAAAATTCTCTATCTGATAAAAATATTAAATAATTATATTTCCAACAGTAAAAGGTCAAAAAACGCCACTGAAAGTACTAAAAAGTGACATTTTACAATTTTTGCCCGTTTTATTCAATCGCGAATATTTCGTAAACTAAAAGAGATAATTAAAATCCGATCGCAGCGTCTTAATCTACGGACTAATCTTTATATGATAAGCTAGTTAAAACGGAAATCTGAGAGATAAAATTTTACATCTTAAGAAAAAATTGCCAAGGGGGGGTGCTTGATACTTTTTTTCGACGATTTTTGATAATTAATATCTCTTTAACTAAAAGAGGTAGCAACCAACGAATTGCTGATTATGAAAGATTGGAAATTTCTCTATCTAATAAAAATATTAAATAATTATATTTCCAACAGTAAAAGGCCAAAAAACGCCACTGAAAGTATTAAAAAGTGACATTTTTCAATTTTTGCCCATTTTATTCAATCGCGAATATCTCGTAAACTAAAAGAGATAATTAAGATCCGATCGCAGCGTCTTAATCTACGGACTAATCTTTATAAGATAGGCTAGTTAAAACGGAAATCTGAGAGATGAAATTTTACATCTTAAGAAAAAATTGCCAAGGGGGGGGTGCTTGATACTTTTTTTCGACGATTTTTGATAATAAATATCTCTTAAACTAAAAGAGGTAGCAACCAACGAATTTCTGATTATGAAAAATTGGAAAATTCTCTATCTAATAAAAATATTAAATAATTATATTTCCAACAGTAAAAGGTCAAAAAACGCCACTGAAAGTACTAAAAAGTGACATTTTTCAATTTTTGCCCATTTTATTCAATCGCGAATATCTCGTAAACTAAAAGAGATATTTAGGATCTGATTGCAGCGTTTTAATCTACGGACTATTCTCTATAAGATAAGCTAGTTAAAACGGAAATCTGAGAGATGAAATTTTACATCTTAAGAAAAAATTGCCAAGGGGGGGTGCTTGATACTTTTTTTCGACGATTTTTGATAATTAATATCTCTTAAACTAAAAGGGGTAGCAACCAACGAATTGCTGATTATGAAAGATTGGAAAATTCTCTATCTAATAAAAATATTAAATAATTATATTTCCAACAGTAAAAGGTCAAAAAACGCCACTGAAAGTACTAAAAAGTGACATTTTTCAATTTTTGCCCATTTTATTCAATCGCGAATATTTCGTAAACTAAAAGAGATAATTAAGATCCGATCGCAGCGTCTTAATCTACGGACTAAGCTTTATAAGATAGGCTAGTTAAAACGGAAATCTGAGAGATGAAATTTTACATTTTAAGAAAAAATTGCCAAGGGGGAGTGCTTGATACTTTTTTTCGACGATTTTTGATAATTAATATCCCTTAAACCAAAAGAGGGAGCAGCCAACAAATTGCTGATTATGAAAGATTGGAAATTTCTCTATCTGATATAAATATTAAATAATTATATTTCCAACAGTAAAAGGTAAAAAAAAACGCCACTAAAAGTACTAATAAGTGACATTTTTCAATTTTTGCCCATTTTATTCTATTGTGAATATCTCGTAAACTAAAAGAGATAATTAAGATCGGATCGCAGCCTGTTAATCTACGGACTATTCTCTATAAAATAAAATAGTTAAAACGGAAATCTGAGAGATGAAATTTTAATTCTTAAGAAAAAATGGGCAAGAGTACCAACAGGAAATTTTGCTGATGTTTAAAGCTGTTTTTCTCGCTGCTCTAGTAGACTATGGGGGTTAAAAGGAATATAAGTTTAAAGAAGAACCCTTTCGGTACAACGTAGCAATATTAATTTCGCGAAATATTGCTGAAGTTTGGGGGTGTTTTTCAGTTGGTTCTAGTAGATTAAGAGAATTGAAGAGAGTTGATAAGATAGTTGATAAAATACTCCAAATAACAATACCAATACAGTCGAAGTTTATCTGCGCGAGCAAGGCTGATATTAATTTAATTATTTACTTACCAGTCGTCTTCTATACATCTACGTCAAGTACTGTAACAAAATAATACGATGTGAAACATTTTGCACGCTACGGCGATACTACATATCAAGTATTGAATGATATATATTACTTACAAGCTAACATGTGCCAATAGCCGACGGAAAATAATTTCACGTTTTCTAACATTGCACACACTATAAATTATCAATAACACAACACATTTGTTATTATTACATGGCGTTGATTCGTGATCAAATTAACTCGATTTACCGAATTAATCGCAATAAAACATAGCAACTCGCGAAAGAAATGCACAGAGTAACCGACCACAGCACATGCCCGTAATTTCTACTCGACTCAAGTAGGTACCAGCCACGCCGACAAGCCATTTGCAACTGCGCAAATGCAAGTCACTGCAAGTTTCATGCAGCGTGTGCGTTTCGACAGCACAGCGGCTCAAGGACGTAAACAATCAAATATACAAACTGATAAAAACAAAACCTGCTGCACCAATTCGCGCGATCGCACACGACACGCACGGTTGCTTTCAAGACTATGTGCAGTGCACTCACTACAACCTACAAACAACCGGCAGCGGTAAGTGCGCTTAGAATTTAATGCAAATATGTGCATTGAAACGCTATCTTGACTTGACTTATAGAATCATTGACAGATTCAAACGAGCATTAATTTAAACAAATAAATATGAGAAAATATTAAACTGATTTATATAGCTACAAGTTCTAATCTATTTCGCATTTTTAAAATAATTTAATTAAAATGATAAGTAGGTTTGCCGCAAGCCCGGACGCATGTATATTTAATTAACAAACGTTCAGTGCTACCTGCGTTCCAGGTTTTTTTATTTCGCATTGAAATGTAAACTTACAAACAGTTCACTTTTGCAATTTGTAAAATCCTTCGCGTCAGATATACGTCTTGCATATTACCACAATATAATATCGTAAACGTGGTAAACGCTCTTCTGGTCCAATTTACACGAAATCAGCCAACGAAAATCATAAATCATCCCACACATTTCGAGCATATTCAAAAGCGCGTGTTGACGCTATGAAAATGAGACGCAAGACGCATTTCATCCGACAAATATTTATCCGCTGATTGAAACTGATTGCGTTGTCGAGCTCCGGCGAGTCGGGGTGATATTTATTATTCCGGGCGACACAAAAAATTTGCAAGACACGGTGACTTTTTATTAAAGATACAGGTACACAAGAAAATTAGGATTAGCGTTTCTTTTTCAATTTGAGATTTTTCTTATTATGCAAAGTTTCTAAGCTATCCGAAGGAACCAGATGAGTTTGATCATCAGTTTGTGTGAATTTAGTAACCATTTCTTTATTACTTGACGATGAAACCATGACTTCTAATGCTATCGGGGATCTTCTGTTCAGATACAGAATTTGCGGATGTAAATTGACAGTTATCATTCCTTAAACATCTCAGAAATTTAAATAAATTCAATTTAATAATATATTTAAACTGTTATTACCCAATAAAAAATATAGCATACATATGTGATGACCAACATAATGCATATCTTTCCATATCTGCTTATAATCTTCGTCGATGATAGCAATGGTAATGTAGTTAATCATAATAAGATTTAATATCATGAATATAAGTTTGCAACCAATTGTGATAGGGTGTGTGCTCTTGTATTTATGCGGACAGTATAAATACATACAAGGATATCTTCTTACACATATATTAAAAGCATCAGAAATTGCTCCTTGGCAATTACTTTGCATGTGAACAAAAATGAAGAGCGTCAGGATTGCAATCAGCGAAGAAAATTGGTCGAAACACATTAAAATGTAAATTAAGGGCAATGTTGCCAAGTCAGAGCGGGGATAAATTGATTGCATGTAGCTAAAACGATTAGTAAAATCTAAAAATAAAACAAATTTGTATTAAAAAATTTAGTTAAATTATAATGCTTACACTGACATTGTTCTATGAAACTTTTAAACTGCCTCTCGTAGCAAACTAGAGCATTTGCCATAGACACAGGAAATTCAATTCTTGATGCGTGGGCGATTGGATATCTCAAGTTGCCAAAGAAAACATGATGTCCAGCGCATGTTAAAGCCGCCGATGACATGTGACAATGCGCGTAGTGCATGCATCTGTATTGCAGACACTTGCAAAAGATCAATATCCTAAAATATTATTTTATATTTCACATGACTTTTAACATTTGCTTATTTACGATGAAATAAGGATAAGGATAATAAAAAGATATAAAACTAACCATAAATTATTATTCTTTTCAATAATCATCTGGAGTATGCATTTACCAAGTACATAAAAACAGAATGATTGCAGAGAAAACTGCAAAATGACCCGCACACGCCACGTGTTCCACATTTCTCCCTGAAATTGTTTTCGTTGATTATTACACTTCCTTTATGTACTTCCTTACGGCATTAAAAACTGTTCGTTTCTTATTCTGAAAACATCGATCGTATATATTCAGCCCTAACCAAGGGCCGTTCAAAACGTTGACGGGATTAAACATGTAACCGAGAAAGTGCAAGGAGAAGTATGATATAAATCCGGGTCGTAATGGATGATATACAACGTTGAATGTGTATGCCATAAAATTCATAGATGCGATCAATAACATTTGTCGATGGGCGGGTTTTTCCAACTGGTAGAAACTGATTTCACTGTTGTTTGAACTAAAATTACATAGTTACAATCATTAAAATTCTGTTTAGGCATAAAATAATATAAAATTATGTTCTTACAAATACGTAGCCGAACCTAAAATAATTGCTATATATAAAAACATCCAAAAGTAGTATTTGATGACATTTTCGCATAATCTACAGACGTAGATAATCAAAATAGAAAATCCGATGAATGTTGAAAGAACCTTGAATTTTTCCATGTCGTATGATGATAAGTACGTGACGCCGATTACGAATGTGGCGAGATGTGATAAAGTGTCCGCTAGACAAAGATCTACAATTATAATAAAAGCATAAATTCAATCAGTGAATTATAGTGATAATATAAATATGAATACCTATTATGGAATCGTAAAGAAGGCATGTAGCAATGTGGGGCGCATAGAATTCAACATATTCAAAGAATGAGGCTTTTAGACATGTGGCTATTGGTTCTTTTAATAGATTCAAGGATTCTAGTATAAAGCTGTTAGATTCCTCTAATTTACTCATTGCAGTTTAAAATACTTTTTAAAATAAAAATATAATTACAAATATTTTGACAAATGTGATAATTTTGACATATTGAATTGTCAAATGTCAACAAGTATGTATTTTTCAGATTTTTCTATGGTTTATAATGCAAAATTTAGAAATCAAATGTTTGGAAAATACACACAAAATGATTACTGTGGATTAAATTCGATATATTTTTATTAGCAAAAGTTCATCGACATTAAACGCCGCTTGATCAGTTTTATTGCGCATATATTTTGTGCCAATGCTCACATATTATTGATTGTCATAATGTTATGCGATTTGCGAGCAATGTTAACAAATCGAAATTCCATGTTTTCCGCAACTTCCTACGCAATGCGCATTTTCCGGATGCCAACTTGTGTAATAACAATATTTATTTCATTAAAACCTAATGTAAAAGAAATAAACAAAAATATAATAAAACAAGATATATAGTTATTTATAATAATACAAAGAGGATACATAATTAGGTATGATTAACTACAATATAACATTTTAAATAATAATTTATAACAAATCACTTTAACTGCTTTTTGTTCAAGTCTTGAGGTAAAAATACTAGTCATCTTCATATACTTTAGCAACACATTCCACAGGTTATAGCAGAGAGGAAACTTCTTCCTTCAGGTTTGGGAGAAGCGTTAGTATTGGAGGTAGTGGTAGTATTATCAGATGACACCTGAAACAAAATATTAATGTTAAATGGCAATTTAAACATGTTTCCATTAAAATTTGGGAGAAAATGCATAAAAGTTCATTTATATACTCTATTCTCTAATTCTTAAATTTAGTCCTCCTCGTCATCTTCCTCTTCATCCTCATCTTCTTCATCTTCATCTTCTTCACCTTCACCTTCACCTTCACCAAGTTCTTCTTTTACAGGTTTCTCTGGTGGTAGATGAGCAATCCTCCAAGCTTCCTCTTCAGCCCCAGTAGGATCATCAATTTCCATAATTTCAGGCCCAATCGGATAATCTTGTTGAACTGGTGGAAGTGGTTGCGGTGTATAATTATGAGACACGTATTTTTGCCCATCGCCTAGATATATATTTTCAAAGAGTTTTCCTTGAGTTGCAAAACAAAAAGCACCCGGCCAAATATTTGATCTTACAATGGATATTGCCATTGTTGGATTGATATTTGAAGAGGTTCTTACAGACCAAGGAGCAACTGCATCCAAAGATGAATCTTCACCTAAAGAGGTTAAAAGAGGTGGACCTGTTTCTGGTTCAGCCATATTTCCACGTGGTTTATCCCTATCCCCCTCGTCTTCTTCTTCGCCTTCACCTTGTTCTTCTTCTCCTGGTAATTCTCCATCAGGGTTAGGATTCCACCAAGTTGTACGACCCTGTGGTAGGATATACTGTGAATGATGTACCCAGAATGCCATACTGGGATCTAACAAATCATTCAGTGGTAAACCATCAAAACGTGAGTTTTCAGTAAAATCAGTTTTCATTGGAGTGCCTTTTGGATGAAGTTCTTGTTCTGATTCATCTTCTTCTTCCTCCTCCTCTTCATCAACACCCTCACCTTCTTCTTCTGAAAACGTATAATACCCTAATGGAGATATCTGAGAACCTGCTGAAATTCTAGCAATCTGCGCTCTAAGGTAATTCATTTCAACTCCCGGAAACTCTGGGTATGTACACAACGATTGCTCCAGGTTTCCTGTGATTGTCTTCCTGATTAATCTGGCAGCTTTAATCTGTTGTGGTGTTACATCGGGTAGTTGGATCCATTCATCTCCAGCCTCATTACAAACATAGTATACTTTCTTATTCACACCAACACCTGGAGGTTCCATTGGAATTTCCGGAGGTTCTTCATAATGATTTACAGGCAATGGAGGAAGTGGCCTAAACATCCTAGAAGAAGTACTTTCTTCACCCTGAATCTCCTGAATCTGATCAATACGTGATTGTTCTTCTTTTACCATTTGCGCTGCTGTTTCAGCCTCCTCTTTCATTTTCAATTCTTCTTCCCTTTTGCTTTCGGTAGATTCATGTCGTTTGACAAGTTCTTCGTCTTTCAACTCAGTTTCCAGTACAAGATAATTCTTGTAATCTCCATAAATCTTCCCCCAGAAACGTACACTTGCAACAGGTTCACTCTTAACAAACCTCATCATAGACATCATTATCGCAAACATTTCACTCCTTGGCAATCCAACACCAGCTTGCTCAAAGTAATACAATAGCAATAGCATATTATTATGAGTCATATCGGCAATTTCCATATCTTCAGGATCCATAGTACTTGGTTCATCTGGCTGTAAAGGCATCAACAAAGGCTGCCATTTTTTGCATAACTTATATCTCGGTGGATGGACATAGATGTCCTCGAGATGATCAGTCAAAGGCCTAAAACGTTTCTCTTTAACTTTCCTGCTGTATTCTTCGAAGAAATCGATGACATTTTCAGGTCTTTCGGCTAGGATCTTATTCAGAACATCAGTGAGATGGTCGTACAAATTGTCGCCAGTAAGAGTACTCCCTGTCTGGAGAAATGTCTTCGCTCGAACAAATTCATTATCCGCGTCAGGAACGATCGGCTTAAGAGAATCATCTTCAGGAGGATGATTGAAATCGTCATAATCTTGTAACATGACTAATTATTTTGTATGCAAAACGTACATGCATACGCAACTATTGTTTATGAAATATAAATAATATTCATTTGTGTCATAGAAAAACACAAAGCATGCTGCGATAAATATTTACATTGTTTGATGACTAATTCAACAAAACTTTTTTTTTAATAAAATAAATTTTTGATGAATTAATACTCAAGGTAAATTTATCTAATCTCATAGTGTGTGTAATACAATATTTGCAATTTTATAGGGTTTTACAAAAGTTTGTTTGTATGAAAAACGACGTGACAATCAACGCGACAATCGAATTAGTTATCGGTACGTGCGCGGACTAGGGTCACACGTAATTGGGTGGTAATTACACACATAAATTAATTATTAAACGTACGCTCATAGACTAAAAATGTGAAGTGTCTCATCGATTCATATCAAGCACATCGATTGTTTCAATTATTACGTTACAAAATGTTCATATTTTCGAGAGCACTTAAGTTTTTAGAGTTTAGTTTAGTTTAGTTATTTCAAGGATTTTTAGTTTGGATGATTACATAAATCGATGCTTACCCATTTTGTGTCACCAATACGATATTTTTCTAGATCTTTTTTGGCACTTGAGGAATGCATCGCCTTGTCGAATGCTTCGGTAGCATCGCGTCCAGCAAACTCTTGAACTAATTCCGGTCCGCCTGGATGCTAAAAATAAATAAAACTTGTCAAAACGATAAAAATAAGTAAAATTATTTATCTATAATAGTATTAGGTGTAATTGTTGATAAAAAAATACCTAGAGTATGAATACATTTCAAATTGATTCAAATATCGACCTTGAATTTCCATGAAATTCTATAGCGCAGTTATGAGCAGTTTATGTAGTTTCAAACGTCGATTTTAATGCATTCAACGCTCCGCGCTGTGAGTTAACATTTCAACTTTTCAATTTTTCAATATTCAGAGTGCGATATTGTGCCGGCAACAGAGTATCCGCAAATACTCTGCAAATATCGCTGGATGAACATGTAAATCTAATATATCACGACTGCATCGACAGGATGTACCACGCCTGCAGTCGACCGCGCAGTTATTGAATCAGTCAATGAAAACCGCAGCAAAATGCACAAAAATCCCTCACACATTCACAACAAAAGCCAACGATTTATGTGGTTTACCTCGTCGAGGAATGGCGTAACATCGTAAACGACGTCTCTGACAACGATCCATGTGTCTGTGCCGTTTTGTCCATTGTGTTTGCGGATTTCGTCCGGTGAATAAAACATTGTCTAAATACTTTGTTTCACACAAAAAAAGAAAAAATAATACGCGCACGAAAAACTCGTTTATTAACTTGCTGCTTGCTATTGTATTATTGTAGTTTTGTAGATAATTATTAAATGTATTTTGTTGATGTATCACTTTTTGGTTTGTGGTTTGTTGTGCGGTTAACTCGCGATTGACGATTAGCAAACAGTTCGAGTTGTTTTAAATGCGCTCATAAATGTTTATCGTTAGTTGTGTCTTGTTTGGTTATCGGTCGCGCTCGCTCTACGAGCGTCTGAATCGCCTAAATTATAATCTTCCTTGTTCTGCGCAACATAATCGACTTCACACTGTCAATCATGTGCGCGTCAAGTACGCGCGATCAGTGCATGATGTCTGGAATACATTGCACTTGATTGGAACGTACGTGCCTTCCGCTTTATTATAATATCGCGATGACAATAGCAAATTTATCTGTACGCCACTTGAGTTTTAAGATGGGAAAACTAATTGTGAAAAGTATTTGCGAAATACCACAATGAGCTCATTCTTAATTATTATTGTGAAATTCAATGAATATATGTAGACATGGATTTTTTTTGAAGAAATGTTTATTTTGGTGTATTACAATAAATTAGTCATTATTTATTGTTTGTTTATGTGGGTATATCTATAGATATTATTATTGTATTGTTATTGATAGCACGTGTTAACCCTTGGACTTTAATTCAATGATTTCAAGGATTTTTGATAATTTTGATTCATTCACAAATAAAAAATTAAAAAATTAATATTCTCTGGTTTCCATCTTTGAATTTAAGATTTTTAGCGTTTTAATGAAAATGTTTATTGTAAACTTAAAGTTTTTGAAATTATCAGTTTTCCAGTCAAGCAATGCTCATTTGAATGATCTTATCGCTTTGCATAAATCAATCAACGTTATATTTTATACCTAAATAAGCTTTTTAACTGCATTTCCACAAATTAACTTTTCACAACAATGCTCAATGTTTTGTACTATCACTATTTCAAAAAATGCATTCTCAGTTGTACAATGAATATTTAAATACAGATAATTAAAAGAATATGGCGATGAATATGATTATCGAGCAAAGTATGTAAATTGGTTAATTTAAGCCAACATGACGTAATTAAAACTAAGTTAGTTGTAAGTTCACGGCGGCGTCTTTTGAGCGGTCGACATTTTAAATTTTTATCGAGGCACGCCTTAATTAACGAACGTGACGCTCGTTTCAAGTTAGCTCTCGCCGGCGGAAACATGATAACAAATTAATTCGATTAAAATACTGGCATCGATTACGAAAGAAAAATTCTCAAGTGAAAATTATTTCTAGACTCATATTCCAGAAGTATATTAAAATAACCAAAAATCATATAGGTACTTCCACGAAATAACTACATTATCAAACTACTGATAAGAAATTAATATTGAACATAAGATGTTCTATGCAGATTAATAAAATTGGACCTGAAAAGAAGAAAAAATGAATGAAATCTATTTTCGTTATGAATGTGTTCAGTTTTTTTAAATCGTTGAAACGCATAAAAATGTGCGCTTGGATGAAATGTAAGGATTTCCGTTCTAAGCTCATGTTTTCTGACAAACGTCATGCGTCCTTTTTTTTATTTACAGAGATGAGCTTTTAATGTATTAAATTCATCATTTTTTAGTAAAACGTGTCGATTATTGAATTTATTCGTATCATAACATTTGGTTAACACAAAAAAATGAAGTTAAAATATTGTTCTTGAAACGTTACGCGATGTTCACGTTAAGCAGTTTCGTCCATTCATACTTCACACTTCCCATCCGTGCGCAACAAGTAGAAAACTGGAATTATGCCATGCGTGTATTAAATTTTATTCTTTCCAATGCTTCCAACGTGAAAAACCACACAAAAATGTTTGCGCATATGCAAATGCAAACAAACGCGAATGTGAAAACTCGCACGTATCATTATGTTGCGCATGACACGCATTATGATATTATGCGGACACATGTAAATTGTGATTCAATTTCACCGTCGAAAAACTGGAATATAATAAAAATAAAATAAAAAGAAACGCACACATAAACAGTACAATAAAAGCTGTGCAGAGAAAACGTAAAAATGTAAGAGAACAATATAATTAAATGATATTCGTTTGCATATGAAATAAATATGCTAATTTTTTCCGAATTTTAGCGGTTTTCCTTTAAATTTATTCATTGGTTTAATTATAACACAATTGTCAAATTAAAAGAAGAAAACTCGTCATAAAAATAAACGTGCGTTCAAAATTGGTGTGCAAATATAAATTAAAATTAAAATGAAGTGTATATTCAATATTTGTTTTGATTTTTACATTCATCTGTAGCGAAAAATTTAAAATTCATTGTAATATAAAATTTATATAAAAAATTACGACAACTTTTCCAGTTTATGCTTTTATTCTTCATTAAACTACTTCTATAAACTGGACTGTAATAAAACTCATGAGTATGCACGTTTTATAACTTGTTTAATCTTTACAACATTGTGTCGTTTTTCATCAATGCGGTTTTTACATTGTTTGATATTGTTTAGTTGTCGGATGATTAAAGTACACACCTTATATTTTAGCACTTCCTGGAAGTAATTGGGAATATAATTCGTCACTTTTAGGATTGGAAAATGAATTTACATCAGAGTACACACGTATTTACCATTTGATATCAATTTTGATTGATAACTGTAAATTATTTATCATTAGTCATTAATTGTGTGTTTGTTACACACAATTTGTTTCTTTGATCATCCGCCAGAATTAAAAATCAGTTTTGGATTTTCTGTAGATTGTAAATTTCATTGAAACTTAAGAAACGCTGGACCGATTTGGTTAATTTTAGTTTGGAAATATTTTTTGAAGAAGGAAAGTTCAAAAAAGAGAAAAAATTAAAAAATCGTGAGGAAAATAATTAAATTGTACATTTATTAAATATTGTACTGTTACAAATTAAAATTAAGAATTTTCAGGCCAAAGCTGACACATGAAAATCTCAAAAAAACATTTTTATAAAAATCTACGCGAAGAAAGTAGCTTATAGGCGCTAGCTGAGTTCTGGATTCACGATCTCTACAAATAATTCAGTTAGCAAACTCTTGATTAGTAATTATTCCCAAAACACGATAATGTCTTGCAATGTTTGCCCATCGTGTTGTACTCATCCGCTCGTGCTTCCGATGCAGTTAAATACCAAAACCCACCGCGACTATCCTGATACAATTGCGATCGTTTTCCGACATGCCGACACCACAATACATTTTCTTCCCCAATCGACACAATACCACTCTGATAACCATCCCAAACTCTCTCTCAACACACAGCTGCCATAATCGCCGAATAGTTAAACACCGCTTCTCCGAAACAGATCTTCAAATATTCCGCTGTATAACGCAAACCACCTACGCGGATTTCAAACAATCGAAACACACAACAATTTTCCGCATTGAATAGACCTCACATTGATGTGTTTGATTTTGCACTTGAATATCCTGAAGTGCGAAAGGTAAACACACACGTTTTCGACGTGTAGTGAGCGCGTATCCGGCGGTTATCTAGTCGCGGCTGGTTCACGTCGGAAATCATTTCGAGAACAATTAACTTAATCGACGTTTATCTTCATCACTTCCTCATTGACATTTGCACTTGTAAATTTTGTCGCTTCATTATATTACTAGATATGTATTTCAGTTGTGTTTATTTGTTTAAATAATTAATTAAATATTAATGTGCATTAAGTGCAACGGACGCAAATTGAATTTTAATTAAACCTTTGGTAGAAATAATTATAGATAACAAAATTTCATAAAATAATTGAAATTTTCAATTATTTAATTATCAAATCCATTACACTACTTAATTTAATTAGAGGTTAATTAATGTAAATTTTAGTTGAATTAGTATTAAATATTTAGTAAGAAAAAAATATTTTTTGTGGTTTTCTTGATGTATTAATTAAATAAAACAGTTTCCTGAGGGGTGGCACCTTTGACACCTACGCAAGTTTGACGCTCGCCGCCTCACCGCCTCCGACGGTCCATCTCCGCCTGGATAGGGTTGAATAGAACCGGACAACCGTCGATGGTGGGAGGACGATGTATAAAACCGGCGGCGGCGTGCGTCGCACCGCGCACACACCACCACTCTACGCACGCGAAGAACCAACGCCGCCGCCGCCGCCGCCGTCGAAGCAAGCTTCTGAAAGAGCGTTCTGCACGTGTGAAAGTCGCGCGGATCCAGTCGACTAGTCACCCTCGTCGCCCGCGCCCGGAAGAAAATCCACTCCAGAGCGCAACTTGTTGCTATTGCTAAGTTGGGCAAAGTAAAACAAAAGCGGTGGTGAAACTACGAGTTATTCACGTGAAAAGAAGAACTTCATTTACTAGGTGAGTCAAATTTAATTATAATTATTTTTTACTAGTTCTTAGAAAAGAAAAAAATTAGCCGAGGGGAAAAAAATTAATCATGCTGAGCAAAAGTGGGTAGTTGGAAATTTAATTTTTACTTCAGTCTACACTAGTGAAATGTTCAAGCAAATTTTGCTCCTCTGACAGGTTGCGCTTTTCTTTTCCAATGATCAGTCAGCCTGTGCTTAACATGAATGTTTGCTTTACTAAATTAGTTTTCCATCTTTCAATTTTTCTATTTTTCTTCACATCACTCACAAGAATTTCTATTTTGCAAAATAGATTTTAAATGTATTATAATAAAAGAAGTTTTGTTCAAGTTTACAAATTGAAATGTGTTTCTTTGACAAAACAAACTTGGCGATATAATTAACAAAAGTTACGAGAGATGCGAAATGTTTGATTATCGGCGGCACAAACAGGAACGACTTAATCAATTACGCAATTATTACGGTTCGTTGCGTTCCATTCATCATTTTCATCACTTTTTCTTCTTCATCGCCCTCGTCGCTTTGAGCTGGACTTCGCTGTTTAACTAAATATTCTGTTTACTTACAAATTTACAAAAGTATAATTTTATTAGCAATTGGAATATAATTTTTTATTTTGTTTTTTAAAATTAGTTTAGGTGAAGTAATTAATTACTTGAAATTAATTAAGTTAAAACGATAATTGTTTAATAAACTAATTTTGAAATTTAATTAATTATTTGTACTTACAAGTACAAATAAATTATTTACGTTTGATTTGAATTTTGAATTTTACTAGAATATGCTTGCAAAATTGTCTACGTAGCTTTAAATAAAACGTAGTCTTGGTAATTACTCTATTGTTTTTTGAATCTATTATGGGCTGACTTCGCCAATTATATTCTCAATTTTATTTCAAAGAAATGGAACACGCTAATAATACACTTTAAAGCCATTTTAATTCGAATTAAATACCTTTAACTATGATTTTGCCTTCGCAGCAATTTTCTTCTCTTATTTTTCAATTTGTAACAAAAAGTAGCCTAGGAGCCAAAAAAATTAATTCTATATTTCTTTTAATAAATTTAATTGCAAAATTAATTTCTAAGCAAATCTTGTCGGTGTGGACAAATAAAATTATTGTTTTTCTAATTTCTTGCATTTTTTTATCTTTTCGTATTTTCAGAATTAATTTTCGAAATGGTGATTTAAAAAATTGAAATTATTGGAAATAGTATTTAATATATTCTTTTGATAAAATCAGTAAACTACCGTGATTGATTCTATCCTAATCGTATAAAAACTAGAAATATCGAACCATATTTCTCACGACACGGAAGTCATAAAGAGTTTTAATGCCAATATCTACTAAAGTATGTAAAATTTTATTCTCTGCTTGATAATAAGGTTAAAATGTGGAAAAATATTGCTCTGGATGTCGTAAAGATAAAAATGAAGAAATAAAATGTTCAAACAATAAGAAAAATATGACACCGCGTGTATTTCATAGCAAATTAAATTCCAAACAAAAAAAACTAATGCGTATTCTATCATAAGATTTAGACTTGCATCGGATATTGAATAAATAATTAGATAATCGCCTTAGCATCCTCACTTCTTAACAAACATGAAAGATATAATAACTTATCGATTTATTCCTGTAGTTGATATTTTTTTGCTGCCATTATCGTCGGCGGTCATTATCACAGGGATGTTTTTTATTGAAAAACCTGGGGGTGGTAATTTATTCGACCTTTACATGACATCAATAGTTATGTTAAATATTAATAGCAAATAGCAAATTGCTTAGTTTAGTCTTTTCTATGATAATATTACCTTTACTATAATTACGCTTATAATATTTTCCTGTATATTCTCTTTCTATATATACTCGTAAATGAAAAAAAATGTTATTTGTTGTTGTTTCCATTATAACTCGAGAACGGCTGGACAGATTTGGCAAATTTTGACTTTAAAATATTTGTAGAAGTTATAGGAAGGTTCATTCGGATAGAAAATATGAATAAATTGTTAGGAAAAGGGAGAAAACACAATTTTACGTGTTAAAAATTGCCGATCATGCAAAACGTGTCTAAATAATAATAAAATGTACACAAAATGACACTTAAAAAACACTTAAAACACTTAATGAAAACCAAATATCAGGCCGGCAAAAGTTAGAAAAGCGCTAGCCAAAACAATTGTTATTAAATTTTGATTTGTAGTTTAAAATCCTCTTTTGAAAGCCTTTTTGTGCGTTAATAACACCATTGAAAAGCTCAACTCAACATGATACTTCTCCTGTGATACACTAAAGTGTACAAATTGAAGCCCTCGAGTTTTCCATGCTTCCTTCCAGCTTTCGCCGTATACCTACATTCCATTGTAGTATTTACATTCAGCTTGTCGCGAGCGTAAGCCTCGAATTCCGCCCGAAAGCGCCGCGCTGACAGCAGCTTTCCACTTGACGGCACGCGGCCTGTTTTCCCCGCAACTTCATCACGTCACATGTTGATAATGCAGGCAAACATCCCTATTTTTGCCGGACACAAAAACGCGCCCAACGCAGCACAACGCGCATAAACCGTTTAGTTTGCGGCCGCTTTGTAAGCGATGCCGCAGCGCGGAATTTTATATCGCGTTTAACAAATCTCAGCGAAGCTTTACAACGCACAAATGCGCACGCATATTGTCTTATATCTTTATCAAACAAATAGAGGAGCACTTTGTACGGTAGTCTTTTTAAATTTCCGTCTTGTGTGGAGAGGATTCTATGCCAGAGTACCTAATCTCATTTTTTTTTTCGTTGGCGTTGCACGCGTAATGAAATACTTCTTAAGTAAGCTGGGGAATAAGAAGATGAGCGATGTGAGTCAATGGTGGTTCAGGGTGGTTGGGAACTGGCGAGCGTGTCCTTCCCGACGGAGGATATCCTCGATGGAGTTTTACTTAGCGTCTTTTTAACATATTTTTTAGGCCGCGCTGGCTTTGTGCGGCGAAATGATGCGAGATTAAGTGTTTTTTGGTGGAGGCGCGCGTTAGATTAAAATCTAATTAACTAATTTGCTTATGATACTTTGTAATGTCATTAATTTAAATTGCGTTTAAAGTAAACTGTTTTTAAGTTATACTTGATGATAAAGGTGATGACTTATTAGAGAAACAAATAATTTGTAGAAACAAATTATTAAATTATTAAAGGAAACTTGAGTAACTTTTAACTTGAAAATAAAATTATTAGCTTATTGTGACAATTTTCAATGTATTTAGCTATTAGTCAACTCAATTAATTTACTAATTAACTTATTGATTTTAGTAAAAGTCGCTTAAATAATTAAATAATTATAACTGTGTAGAAGCAGAGAAAAGAAATTGGTTCAGAAAAAATCTCGCAAAATTAATTTCTGAACGCGTACAGTAACTAAATTTAAGTAAAAATGAACAACAATGCAATTTCATGCATCACTATAAAACAATCTGAAATAACTTGTCGAAAAATGCAAATAAATCGACTTATCTTTGACACATTTCATATTTTCAAAACTTTACAAATTCAAAATGTTTGTAGGTGGCTTGTTAAACCTAAATCTTTTATTGACATTTATGTACCCTGGTTGGAACAAGAGTTCAAACTTCATATCAATCTTCTTAAATTCCCCACTTTTCATCCTGTTTTCCTCGCATTTACGAGACAGTTGCAAGCAAACCAAGATAGTTATACCGCTGCGGTTCACTACCTTTATGTTTTTTTCTCTTCGATTTGCAAGCTAGATTTATGTGCATTTTATCTGTCGTGGGTAAAAACATTTCCCTTTCAACGCAAAGATCGTCAGCATATATCTCTACACCGATTTGTTGTCGATCCAACTTGATAAATATATTTTTTTTGCGTTTTTCTCAATTTTTTCTCGTATTTCTCTTGATATGTTTCTTTATATTACTTAGGTACATCAATATAATAGAAAGGATGGCTGAGCTCATGTTGACATAGAGGGGTGTAATGCCGAGAAAAAATTATCGAAATAAGATGGTTTATTGCGAAAGCGATTTCCGTGCCACCTGTAGTTGAAGCAATTGGGTTTTGGGCGCCGGAGGCGTATTTCGCATGGCGGCTTTGATGAAAATTTCTTTGATTCATTGATCATATTGCCAATGTCCAATCAGGCACATCAGTGGATTTATAAAAGAGATATTTATTAAAAAAAAAATAAAAAAAGTAAAAAATTGGTAAGCGTTTGATCTAAAATATTAAATATTAAACATTAACGGAATTATGTTTTAATTTATTTTTGCCTAATTGTTTATTTGTTTGTTAAGAGTTTTTATGACTTGTGCAGCCTTCCGAAAATGAATTGCGAAATGCGTGTAACATTTGTCGACATTATAAACCAAATTCTGGAGCAACTATAAACAAACGCAATAAACTTATCAATTACTTTTTGCTCTCCGCTCACTTTGACTTTTTGGGGTTTTGTGATAAATATTTTCTCGTGACATCGAATTTGTCTTCACTTTTGGTTGTCTTGTCTTGTGTAATCAGACAGTAAAAAGCGCATAAAACAACGCAACGCGAATGCGAGAAATAATAAAAACGCCGGCGATGGTGAAAAAATGAACGCCTACCAGCAAAAACACACCGAACAAAAAAAGCGTGTGTTCAATTGTATAAGTGTGTATGTTTGGTGTTCATTCGTTTGCTTTCTGAACCGAGAACTGCGCGCACAACTTTATTACAAAAGTTATCCATATGCATTCGGATTATTCCCGGCGAAAATATGAATATGAAATGTAGATGAAACTGAAAATGAAACAAATCTGTAAAATTGAAGAATTTCCAAATGGAAAGTAAACAATCTTGCTGCAGATTATGATATTGCACATTTTACGTTTGATAACATCAGCGAACAAGCGAACAAGTGTCAGCCGATGAACAAATGCAATGGAGCAAAGTTTAAACTTTGAACCATTATTTACGTTTTGCTTGTTTGCTCCTTTGTTCGTCGTTTTACA